ACTGGGAATGTGCCCGCAACCAAGGTACATGCCCTTGACCAGAATCGAACCTGGGACCCTTCAGTCCGCAGGCCGACGCTCTATCCACTGAGCCAAACCGGTTAAGGCTATATTAAAAGCCTTTTAAATAGTATGTGCACTGAGTTACATGTCAAAAGAGCTATTCTAGGACTTCAAAATTCTGGGTAATTTGTAACCAGTTTGAACAAGACCATCAGTAATGCTAGTCTCCTGCAGCTTCATAGAACATAGATTCTAACACTTGGATTTGTCAAAGCCGTTCATAAGGCTTTCAGAACAGCACACAGTATAGTGGACATAATTCTGACCACATTACATAATGGGATTATTTCCAAGATCTGTATGTTCTGAATCTTAGTGATGAACAAGATTTGGGCCTCGTAGCTCTGTAACTTAAAGGAAATTGCTTATCTACAAGAAAATGTAATATTGATACTAATTTCTTGTGTGGCTATTTTATTTGATCCTGAAGACCCTATATAGCAGCTAGAATAAGTAGATAGAAAGCAGAGTTACCACTGAAACCTAATAAAAATCTCTCACATTTGTAGAGTGTCCTATAGTGTACAGTCCTTACACACATGACTTCTTTGATCCTTATGGCAGCCCCATGAGATGGGCAGGAGAAGAGAGGATTACAAGTACCTGGGGAGAGGTCTGGATAAAAGGGTTTGGGTAAATATGGCCTCCCAAAAGAAGTTCGGTTAACCAGCTGTCCCTGCTCTCTTCTAGCACAACATGCCTTTCTGGAGGATCACAAACCATGGAGACCTAGTGTCCCTCCACCAGGCTTTGGAGCTTGATTTTCTCTAAGAACTGGAATGAAGAGCCTTCCCCATGAGCTGCTTTTCACTCCTGAAAGGAGCCGGAGACTGGAACCAACTGAGAACTCTCTCTTTCTCCATGGAATGCTGGCGAGAACAATCAGAACCAACAGCTGCAAGGGACGAAGCTTATTTTTGCTAAGAGTGAGCTGCAGCCCCGTTGGGTTCATTCTCATGCAGAAGCAGGACAGTTGGATTGAGAGAACAATAGACTCACTGCAGCTACAGTGCTTTTAATTCTGTGTTTTTTGTTTTGTTTATTTTGTTTCAAAAAATGAAGTAGAGAAAACAAAAGGAAATTTTGGGGGCAGAGTTGCACTCTTTGTCCATGACCTGGTTGAGAACTGCTGTTAACTTGTGGTGATAGGATAAATGTGGCAGATTTTTGTAATAACATCTCTTGCAGTCTTTATAAACTCCTTAGCTGTAGAACATATTCCCAGTGAATGTATATGTAATTTTTATAGGTAAGGATCTGGCCTCGGAAGCAGGTTTTCCCTCCTTTCTTTCCTAGCAAGAAAGGGATGTGTAAAGTTTCCTTGGAAAATAGTAATTGAAATATCTGAAATACCTCTCTGTGTGACAGTAGCACCTCTTTAGTTGCTCCAGTGGTCTGCTTTCTAGGATGGTTTCTCTCCTGTTCTTCCATCTCCTGGTTTGCTGAACTGTGGGGCACTGGACACTGATTAACTTTAGACTCTGGTATTTCCCATCCTAGAAGCCTCAGTCCCCTTTCCAATCCCTCCTCCCCTTTAACCAAATGGCACAATCCTGGAAACTTCTTCTCTTAGACAGTAAATGCTAAGCCTTCAGCTTGACTCTGATTCAAAGACTATGTCCAGGGGGCTTCCCTCTAAACTGGAGAGAAGGGACTAAGGCTTCTTGTGAATTTTCACGTCTTTGGTTCTTGAACTAGGACCGTTCCACCTTTTCCTCCTGCAGAGAGGCACTCCTCCCCCAACAGATGCTCACCCTACAGCCTTCCTTCCTTCTTAGTCCCCAGTGTCAGCTCCTGTCCCTTTCCTGCCCTGCATTCCTCACAGCCACCTCTGTGCAGCTCTGGCCAATCCCTGGGCTTTGGACCCAAGAAGTCAAATTAAGTCTAAGAACAGGCTCATAACTACATTTGGCCAAAACTACCAATGTAGTTGACTTTCTTTGAAGCCCTTAAGCCTAGTAAGGGTATTCTGGGTATATTGACCCAGATCTCTGTCTGGAACTGAAGAGATTGCTGTGATCAAAACCCAATTTTCCCATGGTACACCCTTCCCTCTTCTCAAATCTCATTCTAAAGTGGAACACCAGAAGCCAGAAATACTCCTGTTTTAGTTGTTGGGTCCCTGCTCCATGCCTGGAAACTTAATCCTGGGCCAAATGCAGGGACATCTCCCAGCCTGGCCTCTGGGGAGATTGATGGGTGCCAGGCACTAGTCCCAGCCTTCTAGCCCAGCTGTGCTTGTGGGTGCTCCATCCCTCCAAGACCCACTGGGCATCTGCTCAGGCAGGATAAACTTCCCTAGAGCTGAGGACGTGCAGCCTCTCCCTGGCTGCAGAGAGGTGTAGTCTGGAACTCAGTAGGACCAACCCCAGCTATACCTGCTTGACCCCAGAGAATCTGCATATTCATTTCTAGAGATGTTGCAGCACGAAGAGGCCAGACTCCTCCCGAGTCCAGGTCATTCATGTAGCAGAGAAAGGCTGTTCATACACATTCCTTCAGAACTGAATGAGAAACAACTCATGGCTCACAATTGTAGGAAACAGGTCTTTGGAGAGGAGCTGAAGTCAGTGCTCACTACTCAGCTGCTGCTTTGGCCTTGCTCCCATCGGTGGGGTGGAAGTGGGGGTTACGTAGTCTGAGGCAGACTTTCCCTTGGTCTGAGTTAGCACAGTTGCCCAGATGCCGCTCTGCTTTGCTTGATAATTGATCTTAGAAAGCTCTAGGGTGGATCTTTTCTTCCAGGCCCCATGCCCTCCACCTACCGGCCGTGTAACTTGGTTTCCTACCCTGGACATAGGCCACCCAGTTGGTGCTGTGTTTCAGGCTTGTGAGGCTGTGGAGTGGTACCCCCATCATAGACCCAGGTCCACACACAAACCCCTCCCTCTCCCTGCCCTTTGGGAGAAGCTCTTCATTCCTAGAATATGACGTGGACCCCTTTTCATTGGGTTTTCCCTGACTGCCCAGCCGAGGTCTGTGCAAAGGACCTTGAAATTGACCAAGAGAGATGAGGAAGCTCAGCAGAGCAGTCCTTGCTCTTTTCTGGTTGTTGCCACACTCATTTAGGGGCAGGCAGAAACTGGGACCTGGCTCCTCTTTGCCAAAATGAATTGTCCAGGGAACACAGTGCTCTTGACCGTGTTTTTCTCCTCCCAGTACAAAGACCTGGAAAGGAAAATAAGTGCGAGCTCCTAGAAGCCGAGGGCCCCGGGACACGGGGGGTCCTTTCGACGAGGGGGAAGCCCTCTTTACTAGAAAGAATCCCCGTGAGATTGGCCACATGATGAATCCTTTCCCCAGCTGGGGACTGGGTTCTATAAGATAGGTCTGCACATTTTGTGGTGAGGACTTTTCTAGTAAGGGATCCGGAGTTGTCAAGTGTGTCCTGGGTTTAAGAGGTGGCTTGACTCTCGAATGTAAAACTGACTGTGCCTTAGCATCACCCTGTCCAGTGCCCCCGGGGCAGCTGGTGGTGTCCAGGAGAATGGATTCCTGCTCCAGATTTAGATGCTTTTATTTGGTTTGGGGTGTTCCTATCTTCTGCTCTGCACGTTGGGAGGGGCCAAAACGAGTGTCCCAGGAGGCTTGTGCCACAGTTTGTTCGCAGTTTACACACACTCAGCGCTAAAGCTCCCAAGTAGAATCTGACTGGCAAACCGGCTACAGCATGTGGAGCTTTTAGATGTCCACTCCCTTGAATGGGTGTCAGTGCTGCTGAAGCATAGGGAAGAGGAGGAGGGACAGAGCTGTTCTCCCACTTCCTGGGAGAGTGATGGTCTGAGCCAAGGGGTTGTGAGCTTGGGGTGTTCCTCTCCTCCTGCAGGAAGGGGCAAGCAGGGCCCCTTTAAGCAAGCTTCTGTCTCTTACCACTAATTTGGTTTCCTTTTCATCCAAAAGTTGGAACTCCCCAGATTTCCACCATAACAAGCCAAATCTGAATTCTGAGATTCTAAAATATCTTATATATATTATGTTCTTATTGATTTTTAGAGAGAGAAGGAGAGAGAAACATCGATCAATCGGCTGCCATCTGCACACCCCCTACTGGGGATCAAGCCCACAACCCAGGCCTGTGCCCTGACCAGGACCTCTTGGTGGGCCTCCTGGTTCATAGGTCAACGCTCAACCACTGAGCCATGGTGCCTGGGACAGCTCTAGCAAGCAAGACTCATTGGCTAGTTCCTAATGCACTGACAGGAGCCGTCCCATTAAGGGCAACTTCTCAAAGCCTGACCCTCTGGATTACAGATGCCTCATTTAGCAGTAAAAGGCATTGATTGAATTGGATATATTTATGTGACTGCGGGCATTCATGGCTGTAGAGTCTTCGACCATAATGTTATATGTAATGGGAACTATCTTGTAAACTTGAAAAAAAATAAAGTTTTTATTTTCTATACAGTTTGCTCATATGTCTTTTCTGAATAGGATCAATACAGTTGCCCAGCTAGTTGGCACCTAAGTAAGGTTTTATAAAAATCTGAAGAGCTCATTATAAAAATCGAGTTCATTAAAAGATACCAGCCTTTTAGTAGCTAATTAATTTCATCAAAAAGGTAGAAAAAAAATAACCTTTTGGTATAAATAAATGTACAGGGAGGAAAAATAATTTGCAAGGAAAAGTTTGTTTTAGCTGATCCTCACCCGAGGATATTTTTCCATTTGTTTTTAGAGAGGGTGGGGGAGAGAGAGAGAGAAACATCCAGGTGAGAGAGACACCAACCAGGGCCAGGGATTGAACTTTAAACCCAGGCACATGCTCTTGACCAGACTTGAACCTTCAACCCTTTGGGGCATGGGTCGGAGCTCTAATCACTAAGTCAAGACAAATTAATTGTCTATAAAATATATTGAGCCCGGCTGATGTGGCTCAGTTGTTGAGCATCGACCTGTGAACCAGGTGGTCAGGGTTTGATTCCCAGTCAGGACACATGCCCGGGTTGCGGGCTCGATCCCCAGTAGGGGCATGCAGGAGGTGGCCAATCAATGATTCTCTCTCATCATTGACATTTCTCTCTCCCTCTCCCTTCCTCTCTGAAATCGATAAAAATATATTTAAAAAGAATTATTCAAAGCGTTTTGAACATATTTTGGAAATGATTTCTTCGTCTCTTGCTTCTCATGGCCAAGGTAATTGTAAAATAGGGTAAAACGTAAACAAATATACATTATGGAAATGATTGCCTACAGGATGTCTTTATTTAGGTGTATAATTATGGAAGACCTTCAATGACTAAAGCCAAGGAACACAATTACCTAAACTGAGGGAGGGGACATCTGGGAAGAGAGAGGGGAAAAAAAGAAAATACACAATAAAGCTGGTAAGCAAGTCAGTATTCTTCAGCCACTTAAAGGTGTAAAGAGGTAATTAAAAAATTAATTAATACATACAAAGCATATGTGCTATATTAAATGTCAATATGCTATACATATCCCATGTTCAAAGGCTGTTAAATCTCATTGTTTATCCATATCTTCAGGAAAATGCTTGGGTAACTATCGTGGTAAACAACCTGCTTCCCTGTTTATAGTGGTCTGGCCCTCTAACAACTTCAGCTCGAAATTATAGCTAAGTTGCCTACAAACATCAGGTGGTCATCATAATCTGGCCAGTCAGTGTGTGTGTGTGTGTATTGCTTTTTAAAGTTTAGGACTGGTATAAGAGATTTCATTTTCTGTCAAATGTGTTGAAATTTAATTAGAGAGTAACTTGCTGTGCTGAGCTTAAAACACAAAAGCAATAAAACACAAACTAACATCAAGCCTTGTTGGATTTGGCCTGATTTCATGTCCCATCAGCTACTTTTTCTCATTTCATTTCTTCAGATTTGGGTCTGTCCATTTTTGGTCTGGAAAAATCAAGAATTCTTTTGCCTTTTATTTCCATGAAGGAAATCAGAATCCAGATCTAGCTTCCAAGTGCCATAGATATCAGAGTACAGGTGTTTTTCCCGAATTAATCACCTCAGGAAAGATGGGGTTGTCATGAATTCTAATCATTACATCTTTTCAACAGAAAGTTGTACATTATGGCTCTGTTGGCTCAGTTGGTTGAAGCATCATCCTGTACACCAAAAGGTTGTGGGTTCGATTCCCAGTCAGGGCGAGTACAGGAGGCAACCGATGGATGTTTTTCTCTCACATCAGTGTTTCTCTCTCCCTCCCCCTTCCTCTCTCTTTCTAAAAACAAACAAACAAAAAAACCCATATCCTCAGGTAAGGATTTAGAAGAAAAAAAGAGGCACATGTTGGACCACACTGTAGATGAAGCAAACCTGTGAGTTGCTATATCCTTGCTTGTAAGCACAAATATTGCTTCTCAAGCCCAAAGAGTAAACACCTCCATCTCCCCCTACGATAACATCTGCACATTTCTCAAAAAACTTTTGGTGGCAGACAATTCAGGAGGTTTTTATTCTTCAAAAACAGGTTGCTTGACATTTGAAAAAAAATGATTGATGGGAATTTTCAAAGGAAATTTCTAATGGATGTGTAATGTCCCTCATCTTTTTAAAGCTTTTGATTCTGTAAACTTATTTATATCTTCACCCGAGAATATTTTTCCATTGATTTTTAGGGAGAGTGGAAGAGAGAGGGAAAAACAGAAACATCAATGTGAGAGAAACACATCGATGGGTTGTCTCCTACACCAGCCCTGACTGAGATACGTGCCTTGACCAGAAGTGAACCCTGGACACTTTGATCCTCAGGCCGACCCTCTATCCACTGAGCCAAACCGGCTAGGGCGAGCCTGTAAACTTTAAAGTGTATATACAAATGAAACTTTTTCTATAGCTTTTTAGGTAGTATCGGTATACATTGTTTGAAGTTAACTGCATACTTATTGCCATCATTTGACAACTTCATCTAGGGCAGCAGTTCTCAACCTGTGGGTCGTGACCCCTTTGGCGGTCGAACGACCCTTTCACAGGGGTCGCCTAAGACCATCCTGCATATCAGATATTTACATGACGATTCATAACAGTAGCAACATTACAGTTATGAAGTAGCAACGAGAATAATTTAATGGTTGGGTCACAACATGAGGAACTGTATTTAAAGGGCAGAAGGTTGAGAACCACTGATCTAGAGTATAGATGAGAGCTTTGGCAAAAATTCCTTGTTTCTCTAACCCACAGACCTCCCAAGAGCAGCAAAAGATTCCACCTCCCTGGCACCATTGCCCACTTTCCCATTCCTTAAGCCCCCTCATCACTTCCCCCGTCCCTGAGCTTCCAATAAAAGACCTTCACCTGGGCTCCCGTATTCACTTCCGGCACTAAAGGCGTTTGCAGCTACTGCCGGGCCCAGCAGCAGAGCACCAGTCAGTCCAGATCTGGGTTCTGGTGCCCACCTGAACGATCAACCCCACACCGGCTCGCCAGCCCCCGAAACGTAGAAAACAAGGTTGAGAAGTCCTGCCCACGTCCAGCCCCCTTCTCCTCTGTCCGCTTCACCGATTCTGAGAAGTGGGCTTTGTGTCCCCGACCCCTTCTTTCCAAGCGGCTTGGAGTTCTGCAGATTTAGTTTAATGACACAACTAGTTTGGAGGATTTTATAAGGTTTTAATAACAACCTAATAATACTGTTTAACAAAACAACACATTGTGTCTCGCACCTGCAGAGACACATATGCACGTACCTTCTCTTCCTCACCATAGGTTCCGAGGTAGAAAATACACTGTAACGCAGCGGTTCTCAACCTGTGGGTCGCGACCCCTTTGGCAGTTGAACGACCCTTTCACAGGGGTCGCCTAAGATCATCCTGCATATCAGATATTTACATTATGATTCATAACAGTAACATTACAGTTATGAAGTAGCAACGAAAATAATTTTATGGTTGGGTCACAACATGAGGAACTGTATTTAAAGGGAAAGGTTGAGAACCACTGGTCTAACGTATAAAACATATACTCTATGGGCTGAGCTATGGCCCAGACCACAGGTTAACAAGGCACCTGGTTAAAAGGCAGCCCCTTGAGAGCAGGGGCAGAGGCCGGGCCAGCTGCACTAAGGCCTTGGATGGGTTGATGGAGGTCAGCCAATTGGGGCATCCATGGCTTCCAGGATAGGGGACCCAAGGGCTGGGAGAGCACCTCCACCAATTATTTGGGTGAAAACACCAACACTGGGGTGCTTTGGGCTCCAGATATACTGGTTGGAAGGAAAAGAAAAGGGGGTCTCTTCTGTCCTCTCCAAGTGTTTTGTGTACAATTGAGGCTCTTGACCCTCTAGGGTGCGGTCCTCCTCATCTTCTTCTGATCTTTGAAGGCAGGCCTCTGTCTTATTCAACTCTAGTCTCCAGTGCCTGGCAAGATCAGGCAGCAAGTGCTTGGTGAGTGAGTCAAGGCTCATAGCAGCACAATTAGCTTATCTTCTCCTGCGTTCTAACGATTGATTGCATGTGTCCTTCTGTCCCCTGGCTGGGTCCGACCCTGCCTCAAAGGACGCCATTGACCTCCCCCGGCCATGGCAAAGCAGCCTCATCCCTAGCCTTGGAGAAAAAATTCTGAGCCAAATGGTCCATGCGCCTGTTCTGAGGCAGCTGATAGTACTCGAGGGAGCGGAAGGCGGTTGTCCCGTCCACCTGGTCAGGCTCCCAGGGGTAGCTGGGGTGCAGCCAGCGGTAGTAGACAAGCCGCAGAACCAGACCCAGAAGGAAGCTGGTGCCGCCCACGGGCAGCAACATCTGCAGCAGGATCCCACTGGGCAGCCATGCACTTTGCGTCACCCAGGTGACCACCATGAGAACGCTGTCACTCAGGAGGAACACCAGGTGGATGGTGGCACGGCCTCGAGTGTGACCCTCAGACACATTGAACCAGGAGAAGTAAAGGATGGTGGCCACCGTTGCCCGGTAGAGCCACTCGGAGCGGGGGTCTGGCATGAAATTGGTGTCTTGACACCAGACCCAGAACAGCAGCACCAGCCACAGGCCCACGAAGTGCAGAGCCACGTAGCGGGGGAAGAGAGCTGAGAACAGGGCCACAGCCAGGACTCGGGGCCACAGCAGCAGCAGGTTCCACAGGAAGTAGATCACAGAAGAGCCCAGCCCCAGGACAGGCTTGGAGGGGAGGCAGGTGCGCAAGGCCCGGTGGTAGTCAAGCAGTGCCCATGAGATACCCATGAAGGACGTGCAGATGCCAAGCCCTGCGGAGAGGAAGAGGAGACAGCTGAGGCCTGTGGGCAGCCTGCCTGACCCTCCCCAGAGCTCACAGGTTCTGGGGGCCTCATAACCACCCTGAGATGGGTATGCGAACCCCCAATTTGTTGAAGGGAAAACTACAACTGGAGAACGTCGTTCTCACAACCAAAACCTGGTCTGAGATCCAACTATGGGGCCTGCCCTTCACCACAAAGCTTTAGTTTTCAGGTGCTACCTGAGAGGGTGTACGACGTACACACCCTCACCTGCACCCCTGGGCCTGGGCATCTTTTTTTTTTTTTAAACATTTTTTTTTAATATACTTTTTATTGATTTTTTACATCCTTCCCCGGAAGAGCCCACGCGTTACTTGGATCTGAAACTCAGCGGTCCCAGTTCCCCCTTTCTTACTCTCAGAAAGGGAAGCTGGGAACCCCATGCGGTGGCAACAGGCCTCCGAAGGTGCCCTGCTGTGTGGAGGGTACATCCTCACGCCCCTCCCCTCCCTGCTCAGACTGGGCCTGGTCTTGATTTTCCAAGACTTCAAGTGCACAGTGGGGATCCTATCCCACCTACTCGTCCGTTGTCCACGGTGGACTAGAGGCACCAGGGTCCTCAGAGAGGGAGGGAAGCAGCGCTGGAATGTCTCTAGAACGCTTCCTCCCCTGCCTCCTTCCCACCGCATCCACTCGCCAGATGTTTACTGGGAACCTCTTATGGGCCAGGACCCCACGCCCAGCCTGGAATCCTTACCCTGAAGTATCCCCTGGAGCAGCGGTTCTCAACCTGTGGGTCGCGACCCCTTTGGGGGTGGAATGACCCTTTCACAGGGGTCGCCTAAGACCATCGGAAAACACATATATAATTACATATTGTTTTTGTGATGAATCACTATGCTTTAATTATGTTCAATTTGTAACAATGAAAATACATCCTGCATATCAGATATTTACATGATGATTCATAACAGTAGCAAAATTACAGTTATGAAGTAGCAACGAATATAATTTTATGGTTGGGGGTCAGGACAACATGAGGAACTGTATTATAGGGTCGCGGCATTAGGAAGGTTGAGAACCACTGGTCTAGAGCCACACACCCAGATCTGGTCCCACCCACTTATGTTGAACTAATTACCAATTTCCTTATCTCTGAGCTCCTTCAGGGTAGGAAACAGATTCTGCCCCCCTGGGATCCCCAGGCAGCCCAGCACAAATGTTTGCTAAATAAAAAGTTGGGAAAATCCGTCTCTTCCCTCGCTCCTCTCCCCGACCCCCCATACACAGACGGTGTAGACTGTATCCATTTGGCCCTGATCCTAGACACTCACTGCCCTCAAACAGGCAAACAAAAATGTGTGCCCAGTATATGCTGTGTGTCCCAGGGCAAATCACTCCACCTTTCTGTACCTCTTTCCTCTTGTGCAAAATGGAGATAAACATAGCACCAGCCTATAGGGCTTGATGTGAGCACTGACAATAAAGCACTCCACACAGTGCCCCGTTACCAGCAGGCACTCGATCGTGATGGCTGCTAATTACTGGTCTTTTTCAATTAATACTACAGGCTCAAAAGAGCAGCTGAAAGCGTCCCTGGAGACCAAGTCCAACCCCATCTTGTACAGCTATGGAACCTGAGGCCAGAGAAGGGAAGGCTCTCCAGGTCACTCAGTGAGTGAGGGCGGAGTGGAGACTGGTCCCTTGGGAGGCTTGTGGCATTTACAGCAGGGATGGGGGAGCAGGGCAGGAAGCAGGGGTGTGGCAGAAAAGGGGTAGCCCTGGACCTGGAATCAGACACAGTTGGAGTCCATGGGCTCATTACTTCCTTTTAACTACCTGCTTTCCAGCCAGCCCAGCAGGGCAGGGGCTGGTCCTGGCTCACTGCAGTGCCCCCAGCACAGGGACAGGCACAGAGATGCTCAATAACAACGTAAGTGAGTGAAGGTGCCCAACAAACATTTTATGGACCAACCAGTTGTCTATTATGTGTCGCACCCTACACACTCACTCTATCTGTTGTCTTCAAAAGAGTAAAAATGACAATTAAGCTTTACTTATGCACCAGAGACTTGGTATATGCATCACCTCCCTTGATCCTTTCATCAGTCCTATGAGGTAGGATTATGTGTTATGTCCATTTCACAGATAAAAACAAACCAATACTCAGAGTGGTGGAGTCATTGGTCAAACTCCTGCAGCTAGTGTTGGGATTTGACGCTGGCATTGGGCCCAGGTCTGCCTGACGAAGGACGCGCTCCTATCTCCTAAGCAGCCCTCATGAAAGAGTGGAAGCATTTCCGATCTCTGTGGGAAACTTTCTCCAGCCACAAAAGGGGGGCGAGCTGCTGCCAGGGCGACTACTCACACTGGTAGTACTCGGCCTGGCCGCTCTGCAGCACGATGGCCAGCACCAGCGTGAGCTGCGGCGTCTTCTCCAGGAAGGTCTCAAACAGCCGCAACATGCTGATGTCCAGGGAGAGGAAGTCGGCGTAGGCCAAGTCGAACGGGGAGGGAGTCTCCTGCTGCCACACCAACAGCCCCTGCTGCAGCCCTTGCATGCACCTAGGCACAGAGGGATGACCCAGGGGCCAGGTTAGTGTCCCGAGGCATTCCTCCTTCCCCCGCTTACCAGGTAGGTTCCTGGGTTCAATTCTGGTCAAGGACACATGCCCTGGTGGCCGGCTCCATCCCCAGTAAGGGGGGGTGCAGGAGGCAGCCAATCAATGATTCTCTCTCATCATTGATGTTTCTATCTCTCTCCCTCTCCCTTCCTCTCTGAAATCAATAAAAACATTTTTTTTTAAAAAAAAAGAGTTCTGCCAACACATTAAAAAAAAACACACACCCCAAAACAATAATTATTGCTGCTCCTGCTGGCCAGGCACTATCCCAAGTTCATCACAAACCTTGTCCCATTTAGGCCTTACAACATCTGTATTTTACAGATGGGAAAACATGACCAGAGAGCTAATAAGCAGTGGTGTTTGAATATCAAAGGCACACAAGAAAACTGCCTACGATGATAGTTCTCAAATATCAGCAAGCCCAAGAATGTCTTAGGCTCCTGTGGGGAAGGGCAGCCATTGAGTGCTCTGAGCACAGGCGAGCCCGGTCAGATTGTGCTGCAGAAAGAACTCCCAGGTGGGGCGAGGAGGGCGGGGTGGAGGGGCTAAGACCGGAAGCAGGGGTCTATTTGAGAGGCTGTCGAAACAATCCAGGGAGAAAGGACAAGAGCCTCAGAGGGGTGGGGACGGAGACCACGGCAGAGGTGAGAGAGTACAGAAGTTGGACAGACAGGCCTGGGTGACCCGCTGGCAGGAGCGGGGAGTGGAGATGCACCACGGCTTCCACCACCCACAGCTGGTCTCAGCTGGTTACTAGGAGGTGAGCCCTTGGCTCACTGCGAACTCATTCACCAGACATGTACTGGGACCTCCCCTGGACGGACTTGACGACGCGGGAAGGAAACAGGCAGGCAGCCCTGGGCTGGGCGCTCCTCCAACAGGAGTCTCTGCCTCTGGTCCCCCAATGCCATGGCAGGGCCCTGCCTCAGCCGAGTCACAGGTAGGCACAGAGATCACTGTCAAAACCAAAGCTCAGTACACTGTCTGCCTCACACTCAGCAGAAACAGGAGACGGGAAGATGCATGATACAGTTACGGATTCAGGGCTCACTGAGGCCTGCCAGAATGGTAACGTGTGCCTCTCCATGCCCCCTGGAGTTTTACTGATGCCTGTACAGGCCCTCGGGCAAAATGCACCATTCAGAGCCCCTCTCGCCCACTCCTGGACACTCGATGCAGCTTTGTCAAAACAAGAGCTGGAGAGACAGTAAAAATGGATTCAAACACTCGCCGGTTTGGCTCAGTAGATAGAGCATCAACCTGTGAGCCAAAGGGTCCCAGGTTCGATTCCGGTCAAGGGCACGTACCGTGGTTGCAGGTTCCTCCGCTGGGCCCTGATCGGGGCTCCTGCAGGAGGCAACCAATTGATGTGTTTCTCTCACGTCGATGTTTCTCTCTGTCTTTCCCTCTCTCTTCCACTCTCCCTAAAAATCAATGGAAAAAGTATCCTCGGGTGAGGATTAACAACAACAACAAAAATGGATTCAAAAGCAGATCCCGAGTCCACCCACCCCATCCCACCCCAGCCCAACCCAGGCCACATCCCGCCCTGACTTCATGTCATGACTGACCCTTGGTGTCAGTTTCCCCATCTCTAGAGGGCCTTGCCAGTCCTGGAAAGGATGAGTCAGAGCCCATCGCTGCCCTCTAACTTGGTCAGGGTGGGGAGCAGGGGGAGGCAGAAGGAAATGTTCGGGGAGAATACAGCTGGGAAAGAAAGGGTGAGAGGCACTCAGGGGTGAGGGGACAAGTACCGCTCTGGGGGTCAGGGCTGCTGGAACTCTCATGAAGCTAGCTAGCGTTTGCACACAATTCACAGGTCTCATTTCATTTAATCCGCACCAAACAGAGGCATGCATGAGGACCATCTCCCCGGAACAAAGAGTAAACTGAGACCTACAGGAGTCAAGTGTCTTGCCCAAGGCCCCATCCACAGCTAAAAGGAACACTGGTCTGTCTGCTTACCTGTCTCAGGAGCCGAGCTCTCTATCCTTTCCCTCATTCCTCACAACAGGCCTGCCTGCCAGACCTACCTTTAGATTAGTGTATATATATATATACACTAGTATATATCTCCTATATAATAAAGAGCTAATATGCTAATTAGACCAAATAGCAGATCGACCGTCCAGACGACCTTCTGGACGAAGCCGCGGCTGTGACGGCCGAGACCCTTGCACAAATTTTGTGCATCAGTCCTCTATTCTATAATAATAAAAGCATAATATGTTAATTAGACCAGACATCCTTCCAGATGTCCTTCCAGACGAAGCCAGGGCTGTGAGGGAAGCCCGGGTCTCGGGTAACTGCGGGTGGCCAGAGGGAAGCCCGGGTCCTGGGTGCCAGAGGGAAGCCAGTGCCGGCAGCCCGGGGAAGGAAGGCCTACTCTTGCACGAAACTGTGCATGGGGCCTCTATATATATTGATTTCAGAGAGGACGGAGAGGGACAGAGAGATAGAAACATCAATGATGAGAATCATTGATTGGCTGCCTCCTGCATACCCCCAAGGGGGACCCAGCCAGCAACCGGGAACGGAATCGAACCTGGGACCCCTCAGTCCGCAGGCTGGCGCTCTATCCACTGAGCCAAACCCGCCAGAGCTACTACCTCTTTTTAACAGGGGAGGAAGCCGAGGCTCAGAGAAAGGCAGGAATGAGGCCACAGACGGTAAAGCCAAGACTGGGTCCCAGAGAGGTCTGGCTCCGAATCACGCCTTTCTTCTCCGGCCCTGCTTCCTTCTTTACCTGTGCCCGGCAGGGGAGGGCTGGACGAGGTCTGAGGGCTAGCAGCCGGCGTCATTTTTTAAGGAGCTGGAAACTCACTTGTAGGTAAAGGTGCCCAGGGGGTACCTCCCACCCCCTTCCCGTGTCAGGGCGCCACCTGTACAGGTAGCCCAGCTGTCGGAGGTACCGCCGGGCCCCGTCCCCTCCCTTCCCCAGGGCGGGGCGCTCACCTGTACAGGTAGCCCAGCTGCAGGAGGTGGAGCAGCGCCAGGCAGCGCGCGGAGAGCTGAGACGAGTGCAGGTCGGCGGGGTCGGCGCGCAGCCAGACCCAGCTGAAGACCTGAAGTGCGACCGAGGCGACACCCAGCAGCGACAACACCAGCGCGGCCCACAGGTAGCGGCCGCTGAGCACATACTGGCTCACCGCCCACAGGGCGGAGCCCAAGTGGAAGAGGAAGGCAGAGATGCCCAACACGCCCAGGATCAGGTCCCGGAGGAGAAGGGAGC